TAGTAGTACTAGTACTTGGAATATGAGGAGGTGGTGATACTAGTAGTACTAGTACTACTACTAGTACTACTAGTACCAGCAGCAGACCCATCATCATCACAATTTGTACCACCACCAGCAGTATGATGACCAGCAGCAGCACTACCATCAGTAGTAGTGTGCATCCTGTTCATCTTCATATTGTTGCAGAGAGGACAGTTGCAAATCTCATTGTAGGGTGTATTTTGGAGAAGATCCCTACTAATCCTCCCTCCACCTTGGTGCCCTCCTTCTTCTTACCCTCCAGAAGACCACTGTCAGTTTCCTTTGGTGAAAATAGCTACTACTACTACTACTACCACCACCACCACCAGCAGCACTCTTATGATCACCATCAGGAACATTGTGCTGGTGCTTGAAATGATCCTCTGCCATTAGACTTTCATTGTTCTACTACTAGTACTAGTAATAGTATTGCTAGTAGTAGTAAAAGGATTCCTACTAGTAGGCAATACTCTTCTGATTGCAGGTTGTCCTTTTTGGAGACCAAAAAATCCTGAGGATGTTGAAATCGCTGAAGTGCATTGCCCAGCTGGCTGGTTCATCACAAAGAGCACAATATCCATCACCTTCTTTTCCTCATAGTGAAAATTGTAGTACATTTTCCCAAGTAAAATATGTCGAGCGCGCCTACTGACATCAAGGAATCTTGTCCAACTAAACCATTTTTTCTCTGGAATTTTTGTCTTGATGTCAGCTGGCATACTGGAAATAAATTCTGGATGAACATATCGACCTAAAATAAAATCCAATGTTGCACCAATACTGTTGGCCAATACTCCTCTTCATTCATGATGCTGATAGCAGCAAGGCAACTTCTTGTTGTCAATTGTCAGACACAGAGGAGTCCTCACAACCATGTGCTGAAGCTACCATATTTGCTGTGAAAGCGCTTCTGGTTCCAACAACTGACATCTTCTTGCCCCACCCCCATTGACACTATCAACATTATCCAAAACACTCATCCTCGGCAACACTAGTATTCAGCAACACTAGTATTCAGCAACACTTCATCTCCAGCAACACCAGCATCAGCAACACTCAGCAAGCTATTGACACAAGCTACCAAGGACAACATTGCGTTGACACTATCAACAACAACAACAAATCAATGACACCCACCATCAGCAGCAGCAACGCTCAGCAACACTATCAGCAATGCTTTGCATCACTAGCAAGCAACAGTATATCTCTAGCAACAGTCCTATCCACAGCAGAATTTCAACAGCRACACTCATATCCACAACAGTATCAGCAACACTAACCAGCAAKCAATCAATGTCAGCTACCAAGGACAACAAATCAATACAACAATGACAACAATGACAACAATGACAATACCCATCAGCAATGCTATCAGCGATGCTCAGCAACACTAGTACCAGCAAAACTATTGATGCCACTCAACAACATAACCAACTGATGTTCATGAAGGACAACACAACAACCAGCCTTCATGGAGTCCCAAGTATCTGCCTTTGAAGCAGTGTTTGAGTTAGAATCTGATGTTGAAACTTTGTTTGAGGATGAAAACTCAAGTGATGAGGAGGTTGTTGATGATACTGCTGAGCCTTATTATGATTCTGAAGCTTCTGGAATGAGTCACAAGGAGGCAGCAGCACAAGCASAGTTCAGCCAAACAGCTTGGAATTGGGACAACACAATTGAGCCTCACAATACCAAGTTCTTCTATTGGAAGAATAGAACTAGCTATTTTTGATAGCAGTCTCAACTTTCCAAAGGTTCCAGTTGATTATGAAAGGAAGGATCCAAAGGTCAACAAAGGAGAACTAGAAGACTGGTGGGAAAATGTAGACAATCCTGGTGGTTGGCATCCATATTACGACAGACCCAAGTTTGAAGCAGGTACAGGGAAATACAAAGGTCACTTCCTTCCTTCTGAGTGTAAGCCTGTGAAAATTTTGAAACACTTAGGTGGTCTTGGCAAGGAACCTATCAGGGAGCAGAATGGATGGAAGTTTCATTACCTAGGGTGGGAAGGTACTGTGGAAGATCCTAACAACCAGTTTGCAAAGAAGTTTGCTACTACTAGTGATAACATGTGTCCCGATGAGAGGAAGGGGAAGCTAGATACCTTCAAGCTCMAAGGATCTTCGCAGGCCTAGCACTACAGTAACATACTAACATGCAAAACATTATGCACATTAATTCTGACATTGGGAACCTTAATATTATATTTCAGAACTGTCTAACATTCGAAATCCCACCTTTAACGAAGTTCAATTGTTGTTATTGTACTTCTAGTAATGCTTAAATATTTTTTAAGTTCTTGACAAGCTCTTTGTAGGTCTGCCTATTGGTCGAACCTGCTATCCAATGAGGTTCTTCATCACTTCTTCTATGAGGAAGGCACCAGAAAGTACACCGATAACCCCCCCTCCGATCAGAAAGGAAGGCGCGACCGCGTCACTGTTGTTGTCGCTGCTGCTTGAGTTGCCTTTTCTTCGGTACGATTTGGCTGCGGCGGCAGTGGCGGCTCTTACTTTATCGGAGGTCATAAAAGAAAGAATAACCTTTGATGTTTCTTCCGGTTGTTCGAGATGAGGAACGTGCCCGCATTCCTCTATCCATTTCAACTCAGCGTCCTGCAATTCTTCCACGAACTGCGATTGCAATTTCAACGATAGAGATATTATGTTTAAGTGAAAAATGAACCTGACAACGACACTTCTGCGGAAGACATAAATGCAATCTGACTCACCTTGTTCGCAAATTCCGTTCCATCGAGAATTCCATCTTGCCGACCCCAAAGAACAAGTGAAGGCGAAGCAATTTTCGATACCTTCGATGAAGGCGAAAAACCGCCACTTTGCATGAAGCTTGAAGACGAAAGCGATTCAAAAGAAAATAGGCTATTGAGCGAAACGAAGCAACGGAACAVCACCACCAAAGGACAGTGCAAAGGAAACAGAAAAGAAGAAGCAAGTCCAGAAGTATCCCGAACGTCCCCTGTATTAATTCTCACCTAACCATGGCATCGTCCCAACCCTCACGTAAACAATGTAATCGTCCAATCACTTGAGCATCTTCTGTCGCAAATGTGTCCGTATCGTAATAGGACATCTGATTTGCTGAGTTTCGAAGTGGGACGCTCTTCAGCACGCCCACGCCAATTTTGGCCAATGGCTTCGGCAACATTGCCATGGGACCAACTCCATCCACAAAACCTTGGGCGTCGATCAAAATCAGGCCGGAACAAGAAGGCATTCCATCACTATTGTCGGGTTCCTCGAGATCGTCCCCCTCGTCTTTTGCGCTTATAGATAGAGCTGCCGCAAGTTCAATCGATGCTGCTCCACCMAAACTCGCACCCGCTACACAAAATGCACTCTCATCACCGAACATCGATTTGACGAAACCCTTCAATGCTTCGATCTTGGCATCTGCGGAAAAACTGTTGACGTCATCAAGTTGCGTGAATCCCCACCCCAATATATCTACAGCATACGTGTCAATTCCCAATGCAGCAAGCTTGGGACCCATACGTCTGTACTCGAGACATGACGAATCGAAACCGTGCAACAAGATTAGTGGCGGAGCCGAAACTTTTTTCTTCATGGCCTTGTCGGCGGGCCAGTGAATGTACGAGATACCAACAGACCCCGAAGGAGAATTATCYGATGGGACGGCAATCCGGCGCATTTTCTCAGCGGCGTCAATACACGCTTTCTCCTCTACGGCGGATGTATCGGGGTTGGTAAATGTTAGATCGTCCATGCTAGAGATCGTCAGGGGCGACGACATCGACAACGTCGACGCCGACGAGCTGCCGGTGCTGCTCGGTTGGTGTTGAACGAAACCGCATACGGCCTGACATTGCAATAAAATGAAAAGTGCGTTGTATGCTTTCATTGCGAACAACTTCTGATGGTTTCAGGAACAATCAAGATAATAARTATAGTATCTTGAGAGCTAGTAGTTGTGTGTTCAATCCAACACAGCCTTCATGCATTCTCATCTCAGTATTTGAAGTCTCGGAGAGCACGATTTTTCCGAACACTCGTTTTCTTTACTTTCTTCATGCTTCAAGAACTCGATCCCTAAAGTACAAAATAATACTAGCTAGTCTTGGAACGAATGACGTCATCATTCCTAAGAGGAATTTTAAGGTTAGATTTTTCCACGTGGATCTTGATTAATTTCGGTTCTCAGACTGTTGTAGATCGATTTTGATTCTTCCAGACGTTCAGGAGAGAAGAGTTTCAAACAATTGGTAAGATCGCAACTTTTTTCTGGAAAGAGGAACGAACTGGTACTTCAACCCATCAGCGCCCATAATCTAATACTTCTAATTTTATTAAGAATACCGAGGAAAATGAAGTTTGCCGCCACAGTTTTGATCTGCGCTTCCGCCATCGCTGGAACCAGCGCCTTTTCCCCCGCTTCCACTGCCGGGAGACGTTCTGTGTCTCTGAACGCCAACATCCGCGACAAATCCGAAAAGGCTGAAGTTTTGGCTAACGGATGGGATGGAACTACCGCTCTGGGTGGCGCCGTCGAGGATGCAAAGCCATCCCGAATGTTGGACGAAATCCGTGCCGCCGGGGAAACAATTCCCAGTGAATGCGAGGTTTTCAATGCCAATGTTGAAATGGATGCCGACAGCCTCAAATTCGAAGAAGTCATGGACATCATTGAGACTCACTACGAAGTCGGTTTGATCGAATTCAAGAATGGAGATATCGTCAATAAGCCGGGTGAAAACGAGGGTTCTGCTAAGCTGCTCAGTTATGCCGCACTTTCTGAGTTCGACAAGGACACGACCCTTAAGCTTTGGGGTCAATATTACAGAGAAGTCTTGGCTGACCCTGATGGCGACTCTCACCAAAATATTCGCAATTTTATGAAGACTGGATGGGAAGGTACGTAAATAAAGGTTATTTTGAACTCGACTAACTGCATGCGCAGTGGTTATTTGTATCGGATTGTTTGCATATGCTGCAAGGTATGCCATGTTGAATTGAGAATGAAGAATTCTGAAATAGATAGTAGATTCCGACATCAAGCAAGGCTTGTGTTATTGAAGAAAACTTTAAAGTATTTACCGACTCAATAAAATAGATGAATGACGGTCTATGCCATTGGAGCAAGACAGATTCGCTCATTTGAGATGCTGATTAGCGTCCGTCTTGCAGCATACTCACTCTCCTTTTTCCGAAAACGAATGATACTTTGCAGGTGTTCCTTTCGAAAACGGAATCGCTCTGACGAAGAAATGTGTCGGAGATTCGGACTGGGATTGGGATGCTGAATCATGGATCCCTTAAAATGGTGGATCAACTCTCTTCGAATGATCTCCAAAAGTACGTGGTGATGATTCATTCATATTTCGCAGAGTGTCTGAATCAGCCTCCCGCTTTAATCTTTTTTACTGTGAATGCCATTTTTAATTGTGGAACGCATTGTAATAATAAGATGGCTAATTTTGCAAATCTTAAGTTATCGTGTCGCACTTGATACTATAGATGGACTCCCGAAGATCCAAAGCAGAAAATTTCAAATGTTATGAAGTAGGCTGGTCTATTTATTACAAATCAACCCCGGAAGTTATCTGTTAGAAAAAGCTGTTGCCATTGCGACTTGCTTCGACTGACACATTTTCATATAGTGGACAACCGATGTATTAGAAAAGATGACGTCTTGAACTATCTACCAAAATCATCAGTGCTTAGCAAAATCTGATCGAGAAGTATGGACATATAGATATCGTCTGTGTAATGTGGCAACACATATTAATTGTTTTTGATTGGTAAGAGTCATTGCTTTTTTCACTCGCATATCTTTCGTAAGTCGGAAACACTGGACTCCCAACTCTCCGTATTCTTCCCTGACATTCCAAGGTAATTATCAAAAAGTTCTTCACCTTCATTGATATCACGAAGGGGTGTAGACCTAGCATAAAAATTCGTTTGTCTATCACTCGCTGGGTTGTATATAACGTCTCCCTCATCATATCTTTCCATTATCTCTTGTGCGACACGTTTCGGATCCGCTGTAAATTGGGACACTCCTACATCGAATCCAAAGTTGCTGTTACCATCACAATCATGATTTGCAAAAGATTTTATCTGTTTGAATGACAGCAGTGGTCAAAAGGAAAGACAAAACAAAACAAAATTAGAATTAGACCGATTGCAGTGCACAACTTGGTCTACAAGAAGATTCTCTAGCCAAAGAGACGTACCGTTGTATCAATGACGAAACTTTCCTTTCCACTGCGAGAGGATATTTCAGCGTAATCATGGATGCAACTCTCCAGTACCGAAGCGCTCCATTTGTCGCCAAATTGACTGTTCATTTTCAAAATTAGATCATACGCGTGTGCATCCCCTTCAACAGAATGGATTTGCTTTTCAAGACCAACGTAGCTGTCACTTGGAACATCAATCTTGGCAAAGACTCCTCTACCAGCTTTTTCTCCGATGCTACTCTGCCTAACGGCGACTGCAGAAATCGGTACGTTGCGTCGGTTAGAATCAAATCCGTGTCCTTCTTTGCAATTCCTAGACTCCGGATGGCCACGGCAATACACGAGCTCTACTGGCTTTGAAGGATAGTAATATGATTGCATGGTCGCACCATCGAAGAATTGAAAGGGAGATTTACCATCCACGGTGACCATGGCTCTCTTTCTAATCTTAAGTTCTGTAAGTGAAGGATTTGAAAGCCATTCTGCCTTTGTATCATCGCTTTTAAATGCAGCAATATATTGCCATGGAAAAGAGAATCCACTATGTGAATTGTCGACGTAAGATCGGATAGTTGAGAACCCTAACCTTGAAAGGCTTTGGATGAGTCTCCAGCGATTTAAATCTTGGGTTTGCACCTCGGGTGGGTCCTCGGAAGCCGAACTCTCCCCGACTTGAGAAATGAATATTCCGTCACTGCTCAGTGCATGCGGTATCGATTTCAAAAAGGGCCCTTCGTCGTAAAGGGCGTTGACAAAATCCTTCTGAATTTGAGGATCCCTAAAATTAGGATTGTGGGGATGAAAGGTTTGATAAGTGGTGACGTCAACAGCATTTGGTTACAATTGGTGGGAAACCAAATGGAACAGAAAGACAAATGATACAGCAAATTCATATCAATCACGAAATTAACTCACAAGGCGTCCATGACAATGATGTCAAAAGGATCAACGAGTGGAGGACCATCTGCAGGAAAGTTATCGATAAACCATTGGAAGGCATCGATGTACTGAACCACCACCCGGGGATCGTCAAAACAGCTCTCTGCACTGCCTGCTAGAGTACTGCAATCGCTCCAACTCGGAAGATATTTTCTCGAAACATTGACCATCATTTCATCAATCTCAATCATGTAAACAACTTCGACAGTCTTGTGTTTCAACACCTCTCTAAGAGACGCGCCTTCTCCCCCCCCAATAATAGCAACCCGTTTTGGATTCTTATGGGCAAACATGGAAGGATGAATCAAAGTCTCGTGATATGCTGCTTCGCCCGATTTACGCGACTGCAACACGCCATCCAAATACACAATCCTATCTGGTTCAAATAATTCTGGGTGACGGGATTCGTACGATCCGTCGTTTGTCATCGATTTTTGATAGTTTTGCAGGTTTTGTTGGGTCGGCCTCAAAACATCGTATATTCGGATCTGCTGGAAATTCGTCGAGGTCGCCGCAATTTCGGTCTTGAAATCCGTCATTTTACCCACCGGAAAATATTCCATGTCCGAAATTTCGGCCGTGAAGCTCGCGAGGTCACCCGATGGGAATCCTCTCGTTTTGTGGGCCCACACCGTGTTTGGTGCTTTAAATTCCTTCCCATCAACGACTTGCTTTGGGACTCCAAAGAGGTCCATCGCCATAGGCACAATGGGTAGCAACGAGTTGGGACCACACGTGTAGAGATCCAATGTTATGACCCCCTCTGTTGGCCAGGTGTGGAAGGAGACGTGACTTTCCAGCAAGACTCCCGCGCAGCTTACTCCCATGGGCACCATCTTATGGCAGTGGTATGAAAGAAGCGTAAGACCGCATTCTCCAACGAGTTCGAGCATTGCGTGTGCTAGTCGTTCCTCGGAGTTCAAAAAAATTCCGTCCACGTTTTCAATATCCATCAAAAGATGTTGACCAGCTGGTAAATGGATTTCATCGTCACCGCTCCCCTCGTCTACATTTGGGGAGGGTGGTGCGGGACATTCATGCTCCGGAAGATCAACGCAATTTTCTCTTCCTTCCTCCGTTACAATCCAACGAGACTGAGACGAAGTCGTACTGCCACTTCCAAAAGCCTTGGATGTGTACAATGTCTCTGGGGGGACCTTTCCGTCTCTCATTGTGGGATCGGGGAGAGTCTTCATTGCTGCGGGGGACTTTTTTGTTGCCTGTCCAGTGACTTGGTCATTGTACGCCTGTATAGCCACTTTCTGAGGATTAACCAATAGTAAAATCCGCGCCGTGCGACCCACTGCAAAGGCGGCTAGAATACAGGATAGCAAACTCAGCAAAACAAATCGTTTGGAGATCAACACAAGGTACTTCGAGGAGCTAGGCTCGGCATCAGACTTGTCCCGCCCTTTGGCGGTCGTCGATTTCGTCTTACTCATGGACGATCTTATATTACGTAGAGAGGCGTTGCAATCCGCGAAGGGTATTCGAACCGGATTCTGGTTGTTTTCTGTATTGTGAGTGATGGGACTTCCTGAAGTATTCGGATTCAGTATTCATCGTAAGTGTTCATTGACTACGAGTACTCACGATATCCGAAGGCTCCGGAACCGCAAAATTTGGTCGTTGGGAGATTTCCCAATTCTCATTACTGTAAGCAACGGCATTGCTCGTACAGGTACCTCCGAAGGAGGTACGTACCGTACTGTACTGGGACTAGTCACCCCAGCATTCAAAAACTATTAGTGCTTGTACCAGGGCTCGCTCGTAGAGGATCTGTTACAGACAGTACATACCGTACTGTAAGAAATAAGAAACGACATGCGTAGTCATCATCTGAAAACTCTCCGAGGTCCTTTTCTCAACAATTTTTCAGATTTTTCGAGCCGGCTTAGAAAAACAAATGGATTGGCGCTCGTAAAGCCTTGTTTCTTCGGTTAACTAGTGTTTCTTCGGTTATCGTACTTATTGTTTCCGTACCTTTTCATTTCTTCAAAAGACTGGGCCACCTGCCACCTATGAGCATTGTACTCGTACGGTAAACGTGAGAGCATCATAGGTACCTATGTACTCGTGCCGTGGTTTGAAAATGGATGAAGCTAGTTGGGGAGAGGCGTGGCACATACGTGAGAACTCAATAAATGAGCATGATTTTGGATTTTTCCCTACCATACTGGTCGAGTACGTACGGTACGGTACTGTACGATAGAACTTTTGCGTGTGGAATTGGAAACAAGGTTGATCTCACTTAAGGGGAATCGTATGTACGTACTCGAATGTGCGCCCCAAACCTCAGTGGTCATACAGTAATTTAGACCCCTTCCAAACCTATCCTACGGTAAAGTACTACCTGTACCATGTTTTCTTTTTTTCATGAACAAGAAACAAGTCTAGATTCTTGAGGTAGGTACATTACAGTACGAGTACGTACATTGCGTAAAGTACCGTACTTCGTAAAAGAAGAACAGTACGGTACCTACGTACGGTATGTAATGTAAAACACAGTTGGTACAATACCTACGGTGCTTTGAACAGTAGGAGTACTAGTAGAGGTACTACAGTTCTTATTTTTTTTCATCCACCTGGAAGATGAAGTAAGCGGTGAAGAATATACTGGTAGAAAATCTTAAATCGGATTGGCATCGCAAGGTATCATCAAGAAACAAGTCTGTGTCCAATGAATGAGCATCCGATCTTTATCTTGCATCAATTCCAGAGATCAGACAGGTGACAATAAAGTGCGATCCAATTGCACGGAGTGCTCGTGCTGAACGTTTTCCTTACAATTTGAATCGGGTTTCTCCAATGCAAAAACTTATCTCAATATTCGATTAAAAATAAAAATGATCTTCTCTCTATTTTACAAATGTTTATCCTTCGGCGTTAGCCTGATTTCGTTCTGCCGTCTCGAGAGTTAGACGGTAGAGTATCATTTCTTTCCTCGACTGAGATACTGGGTGCGTCATGATTTTTTGTGGTGATATTTGTGGTAGTTCTAGTCGAGATATCCCATAGCAATTCTGTTGCATTTGTGATTGTTTGCATTCAAACAAATTTAAAGTCTCTTCTGGGATTCAACTGGGTTGGAGAAGACAGCGTCAGGCTTGGCGTTGGAATACCCCTTGATCAAGCACCCGATGGTTTCACCAAGTAGCTTGAGGTCATCAAGAGGATTGTTTCCTTGAACCTTCTTGTACAAGTAGGAATCGAATGTGACCTGTTGGACATATTTGGAGTCGCACAGTTCGACGAAGGCCTCACGGGCACCATTGTTGGAGTAGAAAACCTTTTGAAGGATGTCGAGCACGGCGTAAGTTGGTCCGTAGGCCTTGTCGTACTTCTTAAGGTAAGTGTTTTCGATTTCTTCTTGGGTAGGGAGCTTCTTTCCTCCGTCCATGCAGGCAACGATTTCTTCAGCTGCCATGCGACCAGACTTGGCAGCGAAGTAAATACCTTCACCGGAGCACTTGGTAACGTATCCTGCGGCATCACCAACGAGAACCATACGTCCTTGGACACGACGAGGACGGTAATGTTCTGGGATAGGGTGCGCTTCGACCTTGATGATCTTTCCTCCTGCAATCTTGTCTCCAGCGCGGTCACGGATGGCCTTCTGGTATTGCTTGATGGCAGGTCGGTTTACGACGGTTCCTGTTCCAACACCGACGTGGTCGTACTTGGGGAAAACCCACCCGTAGAAGTCAGGGGAGACATCGTCACCGACGTACATCTCAGCCATCTCTTCGTAGAAAACCATCTTGTCATCAGGGATCTTAATTCTCTCCTGGAAGGCAATAGCGAAGTTGTATTCACCTGCATCCATGGCCTTCGCGACACGAGAGTTCGCACCATCAGCTCCGATGACCATGTCGACCTTCATTTCGGCAGCGGTTCCAGAGGACTTTCCGGGTTCAAACTTCTGGTAGTGAAGAGTGTATTGAGACTCAGAAGTCTTGTGGTCAGCGGGAACATCAATTCTGGTGACGAGTCCGTTGATAGCTTCGGCTCCGTACTCAATGGCACGGTCGCGAAGGTATGTGTCCATGATCTCACGACGGCACATTCCAATGTATTCATCAGGCTGCAAAGTATCTCCAATAGAAACCTCAGCTCCGGTAGGGGAGACAAGATTCATTCTTCGGACCTGATTAATATTAAGAAGATATCAGTGAGATTTCAGTCATTCCAACACAACAAGACTAGTTAAATGTCCGGCGACGATTTCTGTCTACAAACATACCTTACGGTCGACAACGGTTTCAGGGATGTCGAATTCACCAACCATGCACAATGGGATGGCTCCTCCGCATGGCTTGGCGTTGTCCATCTTACGTTCGAACAAAACAGTATCAATTCCCTTCTCTTGTGCGAAGATTTCGGCGGCACAAGCTCCGGAAGGTCCTCCTCCGACAACTGCAACCTTGTATCGCATGTCCATGTTGGACCCGTTGGAGGCGGCATTGAGAGAAGTCTTTCCGGTGAAGGAAGAGGTGTGAGTGAAAGCACTGGTCGCCGTAGCGAAGGTGGTAAGTGCGGCAATGGAGAACTTCATGGTATATTATTTCGTTGTTTCGCGGCTGATAGAATGGAATTATGGGAATGCGGTGGACGGCAAAGATATCCACAATCCAATGGACTAAAGAAAAAGAATATTGAGAGAGGAAAATCAGTACGAGAGAATTTAGCTTCGAAATGGAATGATTTCTTTCACCAAACCAAGTTCAACCCGAGCCTCCACGTTGAACGATCCATCACTTTCCAATGAACAGTTGTAAGGTTGACTGTAGACGGTCAAACCGAAACGCATGCTGTGGGACTGGTCATCCAGTCACTAACCCGGGAGGAGACCACTTCGACTAAATTGGTTTTTTTTTCACGAAATGAACCAGGACCAGGACTCAAATACAGTAATATCAATGTCTGATCCATGTCTCCTTATCATGACCCCATACCGGTACGACATTCGCACGCATTGGTCCTCCGGATTTTTTTTCTACCTACTTCTACAGTACGTTCTGTACAGTACAGTACAGCAGGGGTCATATATTTATGACCCCTGCAGTACGTACAGTACAGTACATCGGAGTATCCTATGCAAAATTGCCAGTATCTACCTGCTCAGTCGTCGGTAATGTACGAACTACGTACTGTACTTCATAGTACGTACGTACTTCTACTGGATAATGTACCGTACTGGATTTTCGATTATCTTTTTCAGAATTCATTTTTCGGCTTTTCGACTTTAAATTGGGATTAAAAAATGCATACACTACCAGAGTGTATCTCGACGTATTTTCAGGTGTACAGTACGAAGTAACTATTACGACCTCAAAAATTAGAATCTAGCGTAACTTCCGAAGTGTGGAAACTCGCAGTGCAGGATTGGTGCGGTCCGCAGTGTGCGACGCAGGTAAATTAAACGACGGTACTAGTACTAGTGTGGTTGCCAAACAAAACATTATTGGAATCGATAATCTTTCAACTCAGATTAAAATTAAGCTGTAGAAAATTCAATACCAATTCTTCGTTTATAATATACTTACTTCTCTTACTCCAATCCTATGCTCAAGCCAAATACCGTTTCGTGTGGGCATACCTTCCAATCGTTGAACTGTATCGAATCCGGATATGATTTTAGCAAAGCAAGGTTCCCCGATGTGGATCTGGCTATTGTCTTCAGTATTGATGTAAAAACTTGGGCTTCCGTCAGCGGCGAAGCCAACGGTATATTTGTCGTGAGGGTAATCATGTGAGTACTCGCGAAACGCAACCGACTCCAAGCCGTGGTCGATAAACTCGCGTGCTTTAGAGGAAGCCGAACTACCGTCGTAGGGAAGAGGGGCCGCCTTTAAAACATGCAAGGCATTCAAGATGAAGGAGCAACCATCTAGTAGCTTAGCAGAAACCATTTCCAAAAAAGTGAACACAGCATGGGGCATGATATCAAGTGATGCCATTTCCATAATAATAGTATGTGGTCCCGTATCAGGGACGGTATCCCCATCTGAATCTTTCTCTGGAAAGATAAGGTCCATTTTGACGCGAATGACACCCGATCCATACTTCGCAACGGCGTCCTGTTTGGAAACTATACTAACTTGAGTCTTCAGCTTATCGGCCTGGGCCTGCGATTCTTTGAGTTTTTCTTCAATAATCCTCATTTCGTCAACGAGTTCGGGATTTGCAAATGCTGAAGACTGGCTGAGGACCCTTTCCTCTACTTCTTCGTCCTCTCTTTCAGTCTCCATGGCATCCAATGCCGTTAGTTCGCGTTCTAATAATCGAATTTCGTAGTCTGCTCGGCGCAACTGCCTGTGCACTTTTTCTGAGAATACAACCAACTCGTCGACCTCCTTCACTGTAGTGTGTAGTGAAGATCTCGCACTACTATACAAACAAAAGCCAAGCACACAAAATGCCGTCACGGCGAAGGAGAAGGTCGATTTGCGTTTGTGGGCTGTGAACACCAAGCTACTGCGAAAAGGAGTATTGGCGTTTGGATCTGTCGGAAAAGTCGCTAGTTCACTGGTATGTCGATGATGTTGGTAGCGTTTTTGTTTCGTTCGATAACGTTGCTGTTGATATTGATGTTGATGCTGGTGAGATTCACATTCTGATAAGGGTGACTGGGGGTTGGCAGGAGTTGCCATCTGGTGAGGAGGTGAAATAGGAGACAACCGTTCTGATCCTCCTTCTCCTGGACTTATCGGTATGAAAGAATGATCGAAATGATCATTTTGAATACCATAAGAACCACGACTTTGATCTACGATAGGAACGAAATACTCATCGGAACTTTCACTGTCAGCGCGAGAGCATTCTGACATGTTTTTTTTCAGGATAAGGGTTGACCGTTTTATTCCCTTTGAGGAGAGAAATTGAGATGATTGCATTGACGTTCTCCCCTTCTGGTTGACGTTGTGAAACATAGGGCTGCTTTCAAGGCGAAGCATGGGTCCGAGATGAAGTAAGCTAACGATCTGAGAACCAGAAGAAGTACAGGTACTTCGAAATGTATCAGAAGACAATAAGTATTACGAATAATATATGAAATTCCATTGGGTACGGGCATGTATCGTACCACTCGCTCTATGCAGCTTTCGCAGCAAAATACTGTTATTAACGTGAACAAAATAAGAGTACGAGAACCATCGTGCATTTTTGCTGCTACTGATTTCGGGAATGACGCCGCCATCGCGCACGCATTGTGCTTGCGTTCAGTCATCGATTAAGCTTTTTGTGCCAATGAAGGAAAGAAAATAGGTCATAATGAATGAAGCTTATCTCTTTTGATCATGAATGACCCTTTCTCCGCCCATCCGAAATTCGCGAACTGACAATTGTTACTACGCGTTGCGGATCAATTGAAACTACTTCGTACGTTTCAGAGGGTGTTCCGAATGTTAGAAATAAAGTTCCCAATGTTTATTTAACGTACCGGACAAGTACCTAACAATATATCAACCAAAAATGCAACCGTGTAGGATGTAGTACATAATATACGTAGGTGCACCAAGCCAGTGCGTGGTGCGTA